AGTCCCAGCCACTCAGGAGGCAGAGCAAGCCCAAGATTTTGAGGTTTCTGGGACCTACGAAGATGCCATGGCACTCTCCCAGGGTGTCAAGGTTAGACTCTATGTCAAAAAAAAAAAATTATGGTTATTATTGTCATTACTGTCAAAAATTTCATTCATTATTTTCATTATTATTGTTACTACTCTGGGTACAGGGCAGGTTGTATTTATGTATTTACCTCTTGGCCATCTTTGCTTACTCGTACCCATATTCCTATTGCCAGGATCAAGACACCACACACCTGCAGAGAGAGAGAGAGAAAAAAAGAATGTTAAAGTACAATTAAGATCAAATGAAACTTAATTCCACACATCCACATCCATCTGGTTATAATAATTTATCACTAACGAACCCGCAGAACCCGTGAGACATAAATGAAGCATATTCAGGAGCAGAAAATCCTGAAATGTTCTACTATAATTTGTAAGTTTGATGAGAATAATTCTATTCTCATCCACAATCCATTCATAGATCTATGAACAAGAAGTCGTTCCCCTGTTAGGCTGGGAAAGATTATTTTCCATGTTGTGACTCCAACCCTGTGTTTTTTCCTAATTATAACATTCAAAAGACATCCTTATTAAGACCTGGGTTTGTCTCTGAGAAGCCACATTGGACCAAGGAAAAAAGAGAATAATTAACTAATCACCAAACATTCATTCAAGAAGGTGGAGGGAGATGTTGAGATAGACAGAGAACAGCAGGACATTTGACAAAATTTGTAGTTAAGCAACAAACATATATATTAATTGGTACTTTCTGAACTCAAAGTCTTTTATAAACAAGCTCTTTTAGGTGGGAAAGTTCACCCAGAAAGACGGGATATTAAAGAATAGAACTTAAAGTCTTCAATCCCTTTAATGATTTTACCAGATTATTTAATTTGGAACAATGCCATCACATAAAATTTAAAACACATTTTACATTAGTGTAAGGAAAACTCTTGTCTTTCAGGTTTTTAAAAAAAAAAAAAAGATATATAGTGGCCCCAAAAAAAAAAAAATCAAAGATCTATTATTAAATAGAGATGTAAAGAGCAGGCCTGGTCACATACCAGACACAGCAAGCCCTACAGGACTCTCTAGACAATTCTGAGCTTTCTGTGCTCTGACAAAGAATGTCTGAGTCCATCCTTGGACCCTCCTTGCTTCCCCTGGCAGAGCCGGAGGCCTGGAACCCCAGGCCTGTGAAGGGTGTCCCGCTGATTCTGCAGAGGCTAGAGGCCCAGGGCCCGTCAGGACGTGCAGTGAGCAGCTAATCATCATGTAATTTCTGCTCCCTGGAGCACCTGGAAATCTTCTAGGCCCAAACCTTCATTTCAGATGAAGAAATTAGAATCCTGAGAGAAAATATTCACATGATGCAAATCTAGGCCCACTCCCAACCAATCTGCCTCTGCTACATATTTCAACTCAACCACAAAATAAGTGATGCAGTGAAAATCCAAATCTCTTTATGAAACCATCAGATATTGCAGGATTTTAATCATCTCATATAGGCGCGCGCACACACACCATAAAATACAAACCATTAAAAAACCTTCACAGCTTGAAAACTCTGCTAACTTCTTCAGGCCTATGTTTTTGTAGCTTCCTTCCACTAAACCCTAATTTCATCTGCAAATGGAGATAAACGTTCACTTTAGCAGTTCTTTATAACAAGTCTGTGAGCGAGAATTACACATCAAATGATAAAAACCCTTTGGGATTGTCAATAATTTCATACCAATGGAGTATTTTGTTTGTTATTTGATTTTTTCTCTGGTATTTTATTTCTTTTTCTTCTCCTTTCACAAGCAGGTTTATAACTGTCGTCTCAGGCTATCACTTTGGCCTTTATCTTTAACTGAGAATAATAGTAACGATTCTAGGAACTATTATGATTATCATAATAGTTGATATTTGTTAAACTATTATAAATGACAAATATTTAACAACTCTTAGCAAGTTAGTAAGAAGTCATAATAAGAGTATGGTTTTTTCTTGAACTTCTTTTTTGTGTGTTACTGTTTTTTTTTTCACTTTTTCAATCTTATGAAATCATGGAATCAATGGCAACTTTTAATCTTCAACAACAACTATTAATCTTCCCAGCCACTGAAAGTTTTCTTCAACTAACATTTAAAATACTCAATTATTTCAGAATTCAAGAATATTTTGCCCTATTTAATCTTCACAATTAGATAGAATGGCTTTGGAACTTTAAAGCTGATGAAACTATCTTTCCATTTCTTCTAAATCTATTTTAAAAACAAAACAAATGTTGGGCGGCACCTGTGGCTCAAAGGAGTAGGGCACCAGCCCCATATACTGGAGGTGGCGGGTTCAAACCCAGCCCCAGCCAAAAACTGCAAATAATAATAATAATAATAATAATAAACAAATGTTAAGATGTTTCCTTCTCATCTGAGTGGAGAAATTCTCATGCAAAGATCAGAGTCTTAATATCATGAATTGTTCATAAACCTGCTGAATGACTTTAAAAGTAAATTTCTTCTCTATTCATAATGATCATTCTAGAGTCATGATTAATGCCAAACTATTTCATCCCAGTTGTTGGAAGACTGACCATCACAGTGGTTCTTTGAAACCTATCCCCAGTTTGTCTTTAAGAAGATACATACTCCATACTCTT